AGGTGCGGGGCTGCTGTCCTGGAGCCAGCGGTGTTAACGAAACCAAGGAGTCTCCCCCTGTCCCCGGCCTGGCGTATTGACGCCATCGCAGGCTAAGGCTCAGCAGAGACCCTCTGGGGAGAGGATGGACTGGCACCCAGACAGCTTACAAGGTGGACCCCATGCTGGAGGGGTGAGGAACAGAGAAAAGAGGCTTGGAAGAGGTCAAGGGAATTTGCAAACAGAGATACAGAGATTAATCTGGCTTGCACCTCCTCCAGCTCCTACCAATCAGAGCCAGCTTTCTCTCCTCTCCACCAATCAGGGTTGCAGATAAAGAATGATCTGGTGGAAGGCTGGGTCTCCAGGGCTTTGTTGGCGTGTTTCTATTGTCTATAGGAGGAAGGGGAGAGGGAAGAGCTAAGAAAGAGGAAGACAAGGCAGGGTAGAGCAATCTTTAGGGTTTAAATTTAATAGGGGTTTTTAAAAAGATTCCTATGTGGGTCTCAAAAACGAAGTACAGGTAAGAAGAAATGAGGCAGCTGGAGATGTGCTTCAAGCACTTCTGTAAGGGAGGGGCACAGACTCTGGGCTTTGTCTCCCCAGCTGGTCAGCGCTCTGGACCACATGCGCATACCTTACTCTGCTTGTTTCCTCCTTCCAGTCCTTTTGGTGACGCTGCTTCAAAGCGTTTGGCTCCAGTCCTTCTGCTTTCCGATTTCTCTCTGCTCCCGAGAGGATAGCTTAATGGAGTGCCCACCAGGCAGCTCCCCACTTCAACAATCAATAAAGGTCTGAAACACACAGGAATAAACTGAAAACGTGATTTCACTGTAACTCAGGGGTTCATGGCACTCCGTCCAGAACAGGTAAAAGAAAATTGTTCCTAATCCCCTTCAGTGAGTGGAATTTATTTCTCCTTGAAAAAAAAAAGCCGAGGTGAGTGCTATTTATCCTTGTGTGGGAAAAAAAAAATGAAGAGGTGTTGTGGGAGCTCTTCAGGGCAGTTTTGGAATTAGACGCAGTGAGCACCCCACAGCCCTGGTACAGAACACCTACCTTCCCTCCTACACACAGCACGGGACCGTATGTGCCCAGCGCCAGCCTGGGCTATTCCAACACGTGCTGGTTGAATAGTGAACAATTCAATAACTATATGCCTGCATGGATGTGCACTGTTCTTTCGTTTTCTATGTCTCCTCGACTAAATTGGAAGTTTCTTGAGGGCTGGGAGCCTAGCTGTTTTGCCTTTGTAACCTGCTCCCTGCCCTCTCAGTAGGTGTTTATTAGGAACCATGACAGCCGCCTCCTTGCAGGCTGAGGGACTCCGAGATAGAGACCTTCCCTGGAAGTAGGCTCCAGCTCCACTTCCCAAGGCAGCACCTCCTCGCCACCTCCCCCACCCGGCCCTCCCCTCCCTACAGGCAGTCACAGATGTTACCCCTACAAGCCTTGGGGGTCCCCAGAGCATCCTTCTCCAGGGCTGCCAGTGGCTTGGATGCATGTAATGAGCCTTCCTAATCACTAGAGAGTAAATTTAACTTGAAACACAGATACGACTAATGGGTTCTACGACCTGTAATTTATATCATACAAACCAAGACACTTGGGGGAGCCAATAGGGACCCTATTATAATTATACCACAACAGTAGGTGTGAACAGGAATGTCCCAGGCAAACTGGGATGGACAACCACCCTTCTAATGGGTCCAAGGGTCTGAAAGAGAGAAAATGGTTGTTTTGAGGGAGGTGGAAACCTTGTAGTTTGGGAATAGGGCAATTCATTCATTTGCCCAGAAGTGCCTCTGGGGACCTTCTAAATAGCTCACAAGTGCCTGCGGGCCGCAGTAAGAAGAGTATTGTCTGTAAACACTGAATGTGTGGAATAAGCTTTTCTCAAAGGAATTCACAGCTCTTAGAGTTTGTGTTTATTGTCTGGCATCTCCTCCTGTCCTCCCTGGCAGGGGAGCAGGGACATTGCAGACAGAGGGTTTGTAAGGTTTTAGATTGTGCAGACATAACCCCTGGAGTTCTTGTGGAGAACAGTACAATCTAGCAAAAGGTGTCCCAGATGACAGCTCGGAAGGCTGAGTGACACACTTGCCCCCTCGTGTGTGCGTGTGGGTGTGCCATGAGGGCTGGGCCATGTGAGAGGCTGGGAGCTGACGGCTGAGTTTTCTCAGTGTGGTGAAGCTCTGCACATGTGCGAATTCTGGGACCCTTACTGTCCCCGCATGGCAGACCCAGGAAGGAAGTTAACCCTGAGAGGTCCAAAGCGCCATTTCCCACCTACGTGCCTGACTCAGGCTCAAGGGACACTTTCCACCCACCGGATCCGGACTCAGTGTTTGCAGCTTGCCTTCTCACTCCATGGGTGGAGAAGCCCCCTACACACTCGGAGTGACCCCTTGGGCTGTGTGGTGCGGAGAACACCTTTGACCTACTACAAAAATGTAGGGCCGAAACTGCAGAACCAAACTTTTAACTTAAAAAAAAAAATTCAGGTTTAAACAACTTTGGAGGAATATGTAAGCAAAACATCTCCTTACCTTACCACAGAAATGGTTTACATATCCCTGTGGCCTCAGTTAGTCATTTTTTAAAATTTGAGATATAATTCCATAAATGCCATAATATAATTCCAAGTATAATTCCATAATATAATTAATAAATACCAAATATAATTCCATAATACCATAAAATCCACCAATTTAAAGTGTATAATTCAGTGGGTTTTAGTATCTTCATTTAGCCTGTGTATAAGTTCCCCCCCCATTGTTATAATCATGGTATTTAAACATTTTTTTGCTATTTTCTTCATTTTGCCTAATTTCATCCTCATGTTTCTATAGCTCCATGAAGTTGTTAAATTTATAATTTAAAATCATAGCATAATAGTCTGTCATGACAATGTTTCTTCACCATGTAACCATTCTTCATTCATTAGATGTTTGGGCTTTCTACCTTTCCCTCTTTAATAATTAATACTATTCTCTCTCTCTCTTTCTCTCCCTCTCCACCCCCACAAGTGAAGACACACTGAGAATGAAAAAAGATCAGTAAACAAGTTTCAAAAATTAATACTACCATAACTATTATTGTATAGATAGATTTTTTTTTAGTTACTAACTTAGTAATATATTCAACAGTTTTAAATTAGTGAATAAAGGGTGTGATTATTTTAAGACTCTTGTTTTATTATTTTCTTCTAGAAAAGATTGAACCCCTGCAATAAACTAGAGATACCAGCGATGTTTGACATATCTGTATCCAACACCTGACCATCAGTGGGCTTATTTATTTTTTGCCAATAAGCATAAAATGGTACACTGAAGCAATTTTAAATTTCATTTCTTTAATAACCAGAGAGGTAGCAAACTTTCCTCCACAGTGATTTCAAGAGTATAAAAGGAGTCTTCATGTGGTAGAATTGCTCTCATCATATCACACTGCCACTCAATGACCTAAGGTGTCTCATATCCACTAGATTCAAACCTAAACATAACACATAATTGGTGTTCAATACGAATTTGGTTGCTTTATGGCTTCTAAATCTGGATATTTCCCCAACCGAGCATAATTATCTTAGGTGTTATGCAGCTTATCAGTTGATGAACTCTCAGCTCCAAATTCACCCTTTTGGACTACTCTGTGAAAATGGATCTGGGACTTCAAATATTTTCTCCTGTGTTAGCTGGCACAGAAATTTTGTCAGTAGAGGGTGTCGGGGAGACACTGCAGAAGCAAAAGAAGTTTATTTGCCTCTGGTCCTGGTGTGCTTACTGGGTAGCTCCTGCAGTAGCCGCAGCCTGCAGCACCCAGCAGACAGCACTCCCTGGCCCAGCCCCAGGCGCCCCTCCCGGCCAGTGTTGTTCTGCAGCAGAGTGCCCTCACGATAGAGACAATTCCCCACTGCACAGGTCTGGATCTCTGCCTTGGGCGGGGTGAGGTGCTCTCTCTCAGCCCTGTAGCTGGTTCTTACATTTGCTATTCTATATTCACCAGAGTTCTCTTTGTTACTAGCCAATCCCTCCTTGCTGTAACCCTCTGTTATACTTAATAATTATTTATGTTAATACCAGGTGTGGTGGCTCACACTGTACTCATAGCAATTTGGGAGGCTGAGGTAGGAAGATCATTTAAGGCCAGGAGTTTGAGACCAGCCTGGGCAACAGAGTGAGACCCTCAGCCTCCCAAGTAGGCATGAGCCACCACAGCTGGCTAATTTTTCTATTTTTTGTAGAGACAGGGTCTCACTCTTGCTCAGGCCTTGAACTTCTGGCCTCAAGCAATCCTCCTGCCTTGGCCTCCCAAAGTACTAGGATTACAGGTGTGAGCCATCAACCCCCAGCCTCACTATAAAAAAATTTTTGAAAAATTAGCTGGGCTTGGTGGCACATGCTTGTAGTACCAGCTACTTGGGAGGCTGAGGCAGGAGGACTACTTGAGCCCAAGAGTTTAAGGCTGCAGTGAGCTGTGATTGCACCACTGCACTCTAGTATGGGTAACAGAGTGAGACCCTGTCTCTAAATAATAATAATAATAATTCTTTATATTAAACTTTCTCTGTTCAAATTGCTATGTGTGGCCAGGCGTGGTGGCTCACACCTGTAATCCTAGCACTCTGGGAGGCTGAGGCAGGCGGATCACTCAAGGTCAGGAGTTCAAAACCAGCCTGAGCAAGAGTGAGACCCCATCTCTACTAAAAATAGAAAGAAATTAATTGGCCAACTAAAAATATATAGAAGAATGTAGCCAGGCATGGTGGTGCATGCCTGTAGTCCCAGCTACTCGGGAGGCTGAGACAGGAGGATCACCTGAGCCCAGGAGTTTGAGGTTTCTGTGAGCTAGGCTGACACCAGGGCACTCTAGCCCGGGCGACACAGTGAGACTGTTTCAAAAAAAAAAAAAAAAATTACCATGTGATTTCTGTTTCCTGACTAGACTCAAACTGATACAGGCATGCACTCCCTAGACCGCACAATATATTCAGCTACCATCTGAATACAAGTGAGACAGAATTCATTTTTTAGATCCTTTACCACATCTGGCTATCTGAGAGCACACTTTGATGAAGTTGATGAGCCCTGGGCAGAGGACTCGCGTGTGCAGGGAGCAGCTCTTCCCCAGTCCACTCACGTGGCCGCTGTGGGCGGCTCTGAGACTTAGATACTTCCCCACGGCGAGAGGCCCAGGTGCAGGCAACTGTTCCCAGCTGAGGCCGTCAGAACGCACCTGGGATTTTTTCATCCTGAAGCCAACTTCTCTCCCTTGAACTAAAGCAGAAAGAATATGAAGATGTGACTTCAGAATGCCCAGTGTCACAGCCCTTGTCCACTAGGAGCCTTAAAGATGAGAGACTTTGAGATGAGAGATGGCAAAACAGAGAGAGACTCCTAATGCCATCTTTGAGTCTCTGAATATTTTCAGACCACTTTCAGTCCTTTCCATCTATATTGTGGGGAAAAATTAAAAACAAAAAACTAAAATGGAATGAAAAATAAATATATCTTATCTAACCTTGGTTGATTTAGGTTTCTGCCTCTGGCAACAGAAAAGAGATTTAATGTAACATTTTATAGACCTCACCAGAGCCAATTCCTGATCATTATTAGATTCTATGTAGCCACAAAAGAGAAAAAGAAACATATCCAAGCCAGGCAGAAGAAAAACTTTGAGGCCTGCTTACCCAGGTTCAAGACAGTTTCTATTTTAAAAGAGCTCAGATCAGAATAAGTTCAGGTTGTCTTCTATGAAAGCTAAGATTTGACACCTCTGCTGGTTTCCATGACTACCATCAGCAGCTATGATCGTGCCACAACAAGAACTAGAGGACGTAATAATTTTACCTTTATTTTGTGCCTAGATTATTGCCAATTTTAAAAGAAAATGTTTAGTCCACTTAACCCGTCTCGTGTCTTTAGTTTGTACTTGCAACGCAGAGGGATTACCGAGAGTCAGAGAAAGCGGTCCTCTGTCATTCTCCTGAGCTGGTGTTCTTTCTGCATGCATTTTTTCTGACACTGGTGAGATTACTTGGTGACCTAGTTCCAGTTACACAAGTTGTGCTATCAGGATCCCTGGGGACAGTTGCTCAAAATAGCTCTGTGCATTTGTTTCATGGCTCTGTGGCAGCCCCACGTTGGTTTTTTCCCAAAGAAGAGATTCCAAAGACCAGGCCTTGACTGACAGCTTGCTCTTCCACATATGGGTCATGGGCTGTGGGTTTGGGTTAGCACAGGGGACACAGAGGCATTTGTCACTCAGGAACACCAAGTTTAGCTCCCAAACCCTCTAGTGACTCTTCTGCATCCTCCTTGCCTTCCTGTGTCCTCCCCTAGAAAAGAGGTCTGCCAGGAACGTTGTACCCGGTGATGACACCGTTGCACTGCATGCGTGGACGAGGAGCAGCACTCTGCCTTCTCACGTCTTGCCTGAAACAAAGCCTTCTTCCAGATGTCCCACTGGAAGCCCCCAAGAACCTGAGGCTTTTCTTCGTCAGAACTTATGACTGGGCAGTGTGTACCACCTGAGGGCAGGATGAGGTTTTATACCCACCCTATTCACCTGTTTATGTGCCTGCTTCACCCTAGACTCCCTCCTAGATACACTTCTTGATTGAAGGAAGACAGCCAACTATTACTGAGCTCCTAGTATGTGCCAGGCCCTCTGTGAGGTGCTTGCATGTGTGTCGTTCCTTGGAGACACCATGGCAGAGTGCCCTGGGCAAGAGCTCCAGTATCAGGAAGACCTGGCTTTAAATCTCAGTTCGCCCACTTACAGTAGTAACTACAGGAACCCTCCTCTCATACGTAACTTTCCTGAGCCTCAGTTTCCTTATCTGTCGAGTGGGAATAATAATAAATCACCTCATAAGGTTGTTATGAGGATTAAATAAGGTAATGAAGGCCGGGCGCTGTGGCTCACGCTTGTAATCCTAGCTCTCTGGGAGGCCGAGTCGGGCGGATTACTCAAGGTCAGGAGTTCAAAACCAGCCTGAGCAAGAGCGAGACCCCGTCTCTACTATAAATAGAAAGAAATTAATTGGCCAACTGATATATATATATAAAAAAATTAGCCGGGCATGGTGGCGCATGCCTGTAGTCCCAGCTACCCGGGAGGCTGAGGCAGAAGGATCACTCAAGCCCAGGAGTTTGAGGTTGCTGTGAGCTAGGCTGACGCCACGGCACTCACTCTAGCCTGGGCAACAAAGCGAGACTCTGTCTCAAAAAAAAAAAAAAAAAAAATAAGGTAATGAATACAAAGCATGTTGTCTGGCACACAGTAAACATTCAATAAAAGTTAGCTATCATTATTAGTATTAGTACAGTCATAGTAGCCACAGGATCACTCTAATCCCAGGAGCATCTCATATATAGCACATTGCTATACAGAAAATTTAAGTCCTGAAAAGGAAATGTTCCAGAATTTATCAGCCTGAACATAGTAGCTCCTGAAATAGTGGCTGGATTAACAAAAGTGCCAAGGTCTGAGTATCCTAGCCTTGGCGCTTGGCACAGAGATCTGTTTATTCTGTGCTTACTGTAGGCTCACATGGCGCTAGGCAACATCATTCATGACCTTATAAAGTTTAAATTCTTGTTGTGGAGACAAGGCCAACAAACATAACATTAATAAGAAATACAAGACAGGATATATTGCTAAACCATATTTTTGGTAGCGAGCGCTATGTGAGTTAAGAGGGGGAAAATAACAATAATGGAGCACCCACTATGTGCTAGGCCCAGGATTGAAAACATCACCTTATTTAGGTTTTCACTGATTCCATGAGGTAGATTATATATAGCCATATAAGAGATGAAGAAACTTTGACACAGTGACATTCAGTGACATCACAATGCAGGACACACAATTAGTAAGTGGCTAAGCCAGAACTTGAACACAGGCCTCCTGGCCCTTAGACCCTGCAGAAGACATCCGTCCTCCCAAAGACAAGCGCGTATCATCAACCCCATCTTCTGGAAGAGGAAGCAGGAGGTCAGAAACGTTAAGTGACTTGTCCAAGGTCACTGAAATAATAGCTGGCCGAGCTGGGGTTTACATGCAGGTCTGCCCACCTCAGGATCTCAGGTGTGCCCTTTGCACCTGACAGCCTGGCCCCGGCACCCGGCACCCCTCCTCGCAGCAAAGGAGGCGAGCGCGCGGCGCCTGTGGAGCAGCGCGCATCTGGGCGGCTGCCTTCAGCTCGGCGAAGCAGGCGGGGCAGCCGCCCGGGCGCCACGGCGGCCCTCACAGAGCCCGGGCCGGGCCCCTCGCGTTACAGAAGAAGCGGAGGCCCAGAGTGGCTAGTTCACCCTCTAGCCTGTCAGCCCCACTCCTTCGCCTTGCCCGGGCTGCCCTCACCTGAAGGGCTCCCCCGTGCCCCATTCCGCTCATCTGTGAAGCCCGCCCACTCCTCAGGACCTGAGCTCTCGCCGCCCCGCAGCTCCGCCTGGGGCCTACGGCGCGTGCGGCAAGGGAGCGCGTGCTACGCCGATGTGCATCACGGGACCTTTCCATCTCTCGGCTCGTTCCTGGTGGCACTCAGTAAACGTCTGTTGAACAGGTGGGAAAACTGATGAATAAACCGGAGCACTGACAGACCCCGGGTGGGGACGAGCCGGGACCGGCCTAAGCTACGGGCCTCTCGCCCGCCGCCTGGAGGAAGCACGAGCGTCGGCCGGGCCTCGGCCCCGCGGCGCCACCTCGTGGTTTCTGTGAGGAACTGCACCAGGCTGGGCTCCGGGGCGCGTGTCCTGGGGTGACTAAGAGTAAGGGGGACCGGGCCCTCTAGGGAGCAGTCCTAGCATCTGGCCTATTTTTCCTGTCAACTTTATGGACGTACTCAACCTTGCTGAAGGAAAATAATGCAGAAAAGTGACCAGAAAGGATTTTCCCACACCCTGCCAAACATGCAAATGGAAACTGTGCAAGTCTTCCTGCATCTGGACCAACAGACGAGACCCTCCTCCACACTTGTCATCTGAGATGAGTACACACCTTCACGACAGGGTTGGACGCTGCCCCGCCTCACCTACTCCGCATCCCCCCTGGGGAATCAGAGAGGGGGAGCGAGCAGGCGCAGGGCTGGGCGCGGGCAGGCCCGCGGGGCAGGCGGAACAAGGCCCCAGAAAGAAGCTGCCCCCTCCCCAAGCGCACTGAGAAGCGCGGGAAGTTTCGAGGGAAACGCCTTTCCCACCCAGCCCCAAAGTCAGTCCCTTCTTCCACTGCGGAGTGGGGGTCGCCGCAGCCCCTTTCTAATCCAGCCAGTATTCACAATCCAAGAATGAAATCTCATGTTTACGCGTGTCCTTATTTAACTCGAGCATACAAACAGACACGTGCGGTCCAATTTAGATGGCGTAGGTCTCGAGATAGTGAGCAAATGTGTTTGAGGGTGCTCCCCTGGTCCCTGCCACCAACGGTTTCTCTGCCTTGGTTCTACGTGCATTCTGGGGAGGCAGAGAATGTCGCAGGAAATGGGTCTCCTAGACTCGTGCGAGCCCGGGAGGACCACGGCCTCCCCGCGCCGCCGAGCCTGCCGATGCCCTGGCCGGGCGATCAGGACGCGTTCCGATCCGTCAGTGACCAAGGACGCACTCAAGGCTCGGTGATTGTGCAGATATTTCCCTGCTGTTCCCTGAGGTAGCCTTTCACCCGGTACCTAGACCCCCATGGGTGGGCACCAGGAAGCTTCCTGTCCTCCTCACTCTCCGTCCGCCCGGCCGGCGTCGCCCGCCCCGGCCTTCTGCGTTCCCGCCGTGGGCGGCGCACTCTGTCGGCCTCGGACCCTCGGCTACTTCAGGAAGGGGCACCAAAAACACGGACACACCTCTTTCATATTAATATTGATTGCTAGATATGAATAAGTGTTTTACAATGTTTTGCAATGCTAGAAGACCCCCTTCCCACAGGGAACCCGTGTGCCTCCTGCTGCATACACACGAATCCTGGGCGCACCAGCCAGGGAGAAGCAACTGTAAGAAAAGTGGCACCTGTGGCTCTTAGTGCCTACGTTGTGCCCTGTGTCCCGTCAATGTCCCCGATGTGGTAGCAGCACACTTGTACGGCTGGCGGGCCGCGCACGCTTGGTAACTGCGCGGAGACGCTAGTCTGCTCGTGGGCATGATCTCGGGAAGGGAGTGAACACGCACTCGGCGGGCCTCCGAGGGAGACAAACAGGACTTCGGCGGGGGACGCGGTGGAGCACAGAGTCACGGACTGTTTGCAGCCACAGCAGTGGGAAGAGTGATTGTTACGAGAACGCCCAGGGGCGCTCTCATCCGGAAGTACACAAGCCAAGCAAAATGCGCGGCCTTTGGGCGAAGGCACCGAAGAGCACCATCTAGCGACCCCATGAGTTCTTTCTCCGAGGACGCGTCGGTAATGACAAATGGAGACCCCTGCGCGCAGAACCGAGGGCGGGAAAGCGACCTTGGAGATAAAACAGAAAGTGCGGAGGATAGCGTGCGGGCCTCAGACGCGGAAAACAGGGTCAGAGCACTCACCTCAAAGGTGAGTTTGATACCTCAAAGGTTGTTTGATAATTAAATGAGATATTTGCTTTTTATACGACATGTTTTATGTTCATAAAACAAAAGTAGCGACTAAATACTCTTCATTAATTTAGGAATCCTGGCCCTTATTATGTGACACATTGTGTGCCCATGTATTTATCACTTTGTTTTATAAGTTGTATCATCTTTACATGTGATGATAGAACATTTATTATGTGAAATGTTCTTGTTTACAGTAATTTGTGGGCTTTTTTTCTTACTAGAATTTAAGAAAGATATTGTACAAACCAGTTTTATTGGGTTCAGAGAAAATATAGGAAAAAATTTAAATTCGTAAAAACTATTTTAGAAATGAAGTTTACATTTGTGTATGTGCCAGAGAGAAAGAGACCAAAGATAGAAGAAATAGGATGAAGAAAGGCCTCAAACCAGCAAAACACACCATTTCCTGGAATATTCATAAATGCTAGACAGCCTAAAGGTATGTCCCATGGCAAGCCCGGATCTGAATGAGACCACACCTGGATTCCTTATGTGTGTGCACATGTTCTTGGAAGGCAGAAATAGGAGTCACCATCAGGCAACCAAAATGCAGTTTTCCTTTATGACTCTGAGTCACCTCATAAGGTGGAATTTGGAAACCTACATGTGCAGGTCACAGATGGCAACAGCAGCGTGTCTGACAGCTACCTGTGGGTGTATAATTTGCCAGAGTCAATACATGATTAAACAAGTATGTTTTATTAGAAGTTACACATCAATCCTCCTTCCTTGTCTTGGGAAAATTTTAATTATCATAACAAAATTATCCGATTGTAAGAAATAACTACTATATTTGTGGTACAAAGATGTTTTAACTTTTGATGCCAATATGTATCCTGGATAATTTTGAAGCAATCCTGACATCATATAATTTTATCTGTAAAAAAATTTGCCATATATCTCTAAAAGATCATTTTAAATGTATAATTTTAAATGTAACCCAACCATCATCACAGTTAAAAAATAACATTAATACTTTAATATCATCAGATATTCAGTGTTCAAATTGCTCCAATTGGCTCATCAATTTTTTCAGATGTCATGTTTTTATTTAAATTTTTAAAAACTTATTTGTTTCAACAAATGTTATTGGAATAATTGGATATTTGTATGGGGAAAATGAATCTTGACACTCTACTTCACATCACTTAAAAAAAAATTCAAGGTGAATCACAGACCTAAATATGGAAGGTGAATCAATCAAGTTTTATTAATAGAAGAACACAGATTTGGGTGGGCAAATATTTCTTTCTTTCTTTTTGGAAAATATTTCTTAAACAGAAAACAAAAGGCACTAAACTTAAAAGAAAAGAAAAATAAATTGAGCCTCATTATAATTAAGAAATTTGGTTCAGGCCAGTAGCAGTGGCTTATACCTATAATCCCAGCACTTGGGAGGCTGAGGCAGGAGAATCGCTTGTGGCCAGGAGTTTGAGACCAGCCTGGACAACATAGTGAGACTCCATCTCTACAAAAATAAAAAATATTAGCTGGGTGCTGTGGTGTGCACCTTTGGTCCTAGCTACTTGGGAAGCTAAAGCAAGGGATCACTTTAGATCAGGAGTTGGAGGCTACAGTGAGCTATGACTGTGCCACTGCACTCCAGCCAGGGTGACAGAGCCTGAGACTTCTTCTCTAAAAAAGAAAAAAAGAGACAAAGAAATTTGGTTCAATGAAAGGTACCATTAAGATGTTTGAAATGCAAGCCACAGACTAGGGGAAGACTTTTTGTATCCATATCTCTCACAAAGGATTCATAATAAGAATATATAAAGAACTCCTGCAAGTCACTAAGAAAAGGACATACAACTCAGTTAAAAATTGGCAAAAACATTAAAATCACTTGAAGTTCTATGAAAAATACTAATGCCCATTGTACAGCCACTGTTATCATTTATCTAAGCAAAGATCATCAATGGATGCTAAAACCATTGAACCAGATATTCATACAGTCTCCAAGTATCTCTCCACAGATCATTTATCATTACAAAGGGAAAAAAGAACCTTAAAATGGATAAACATGGCAGACACTGTCTTAATCAAGTGATTACACTTAACATCACCAGTAAGACCAAAAAAGGTAAGGGGCAAGAGAATACGTGAACAGGTACCCCACAAAATAGGATATCCAAATGACCAATAAACATATGAAAGGGTGATCTATATATTAATTACCAGGTAAATACAAATTAAAAGCACAATGAAGTACCACTACATACCAACCTACAAAGGCTCAAAAATTAAAAGGACCAGCAATATCAAGTGTTCGTGAGGTTAGGAAGCAATTGGAACTTTCTGTCTTAAGTTAGTGGTTGAAGTGTTAACTTAAACAGTCACTTTTGAAAACTACTTAGCAGTATCTACTAAAACTATATATACACATACCCTTTAATCTGGCTGTTTCACTCCTAGGTATATATCCAAGAGAAATGGGTACAGATGAGCAGTAAGAAATCCGTTACACAGTAATAAAAATGAGGAATTACTGATATATGCAAAAACAAAGATGAATCTTACAGACGTTTTGGGTGTAAGAAACCAGGTACAAAAGAATGCATATTGAATGATTCCATTTATATGAAGTTCAAGAAGTCAGAATAGGCCGGGCGAGGTGGCTCACACCTATAATCCTAGCACTCTGGAAGGCCGAGGTAGGAGGATTGCTGAAGGTCAGGAATTTGAAACCAGCCTGAGCAAGAGTGAGACTCCATCTCTACTAAAAATAGAAAGAAATTAATTGGCCAACTAAAAATATATAGAAAAAAAATTAGCCGGGCATGGTGGCACGTGCCTACCTATAGTCCCACCTACTTGGGAGGCTGAGGCAGAAGGATCGTGTCAGCCCAGGAGTTTGAGGTTGCTGTGAGCCAGTCTGACGTCACAGCACTCTAGCCCAGACAACAAAGTGAGACTCTGTCTCAAAAAAAAAAAAAAAGTCAGAATAGTGGTTACTCTCAGAGAGGACGTTGTTAAATGAAAAGGAGTACACAGAAATCCTCTGTGGTGCTGGGAACATCATGTAGCTGAGTGGTGGTTACAGGGTGCAAATATATATTAAAATTCAATGATCTGTTCATTTAAGGTTAATGTACTTTAAAACTTTGCTATATCTATTTTATGTCTCAATAAAGAAGAAAAAAATAAGAACACAGATGCTAACTTGAAGGAAATCCTACTGGCCAAAGATGGGACAACTTGAACATCAAGAAGAATTTTGACTGTGATGTTTTGAAACATAGTAAACAAATAAGAATCCACAAGTTTATAAAAATTCTAAAAGTATTCAGTGATCTCTGTTATTATTCTGAAAATTGATAAAGGGAAGGAATCAAGCATTTCTCCAATTTTTCCTTATCAGTGGTATTTCAGAGTAAACAAACAGGTGGGGAAGTTTTTTTCTCTATACAAAAATTCCAGCTAATAAATGCAGAAGGAACAATAGAATTAGAAACTGCCATTTTGCAACACTAATAAAATAGTGTCTAGGCAAAAGTGTCAATGCCTGCTAATCAGATGAAAGGTTGATAAGAAACTTTATAGTGGCGGAATCAAGATGACCCTACCTCAACCCAATGATCTGTGTAAACATTACTGAGGGTGGGAAGGTCTGACATTATGTGCTTGTGATGTAATATAACAGGAACCACCCAGCACCATCTGTAAAGCATTCTCACGAAAAGAATTGAACTGAGTGTGATTATGCATCTGGGTTTAGCTATCAATTTATAGGTCTAGCTATCAATTTTTTCACTCAAAATTTAATGTGCGTGATAAACATGTTTGATGGCATATTGAGGATGCAATCAATCCAATCCAGAATGTAAGCAATTCCACAGGACAGATGATGTGGTTTCTTTAGCAAATAAATGACATGAAAATAAATGAAGGAAGAAGGAATTGTTGTAGACTAAAATAGACTTACAAGATATATCGACAACCTTGTTTGGATCCTTATTTAAACAAAACACTATAAAAAGACATTTTTAGACTGTTTTGAAATTTTAACATGGACTGGATCTGAAATTATATTAAGGAATTATTGTTAATATTAATTATGGGGATGGTTTAGGGCTTAAGATTTTTTAAAAATCCTTGTCAACACAAGAGCACAGTGGGAAGGGGCTCCCACTGGCTAAATCTGAGACAATTTGAATATCAGAATCAGTAATGATAGTAAAGTAAAAATCCATGCATCCATATTGATAATGCATACAATGTGTATGTGTGTGTGTATTGTGGTAGAAATAAAACTAATAAATATAGATGGAATGTTGGAATTAGAAAAATCACCATTTGGTAAAGGATTCAGTGAAGATTCATCAATGGATGCTGAAACTAGTAGAGAAAGCTTGGTGAGCAAGAGGATATTTATATTGTCTCAAAGTATTTGTTCACAAATAAAAAATAGTAACCTTACAGTGGAGAAAGTAGGCAGATACAATCTTAACCAAGTGATCGAAGTTAACGTCACTGGTAATGGGACAAATTGAAGTCATGGGCCTCTAAAATGAAACATTGTGAAGAAAACATCATTTCTGGGGTATTTTTTACAAAACCTAAATCTATCCATGAGGAAACATAAAAAAAAAACTTAATTGATGGATATTCTACAATATAATCTACGTATACTCATCGCACATGCTAAGGTTACTAAAGACAAGAAAAAATTGAGAAACTCTTCCAAGTCAAAAGAGACCAAAGAAACATGACAATGAAATGAACTATGATACTAGATCTTCCTTACAAAGGACATTGTTGAGACAACTGGGAAAATTTGAACACAGTTTATCAATTAGCTTTTAGTATAGTATCAGCATTCGTTTCCTAATTTTGATCTTTATAGTATGGTTTGTAAGAGAATAGTCTTGTTCTTAGGAAATACACACTGAAATATTTAGGGTTAAAGGGTTAAGCCTGTAACTTACTCTCAAATGGTCCAGAAGAAAAATATGTATA